TCTTTTTATTGGTGATTTGCTATTCATCATTTTCGGGAGATTAAGAGGAATATGTTCTCCATCAGCCCTAGATAGGACTTGATACCCTTGCCCTTATGCATTTATATTAATCCTGTTTAAGTCAATATACTTAAATTGGGATATGAAGCTAGAGCATCTGGGGTTAGCCTTTTTTTTTTTTTTTTTTTTGTGGCCACGTAGGGCATTTTGCGCCTAAATCATTTAAAAAGACCTTCAAAACTTTTGCATTAGGATCTTTTTTTTTTTTTTTTTTTGGCTAAATCATTAAAAAGACTCCAAACTTTGCAGGTAATTTTAATTGTACCATAAATTTAACTTTTTTTCTTCTAGACCCTGAATTTCAACTTTAGTTACAATAGTACCTTAATTTTAAATTGTATCAAATTTAATGAAAAAATATTATTTTCATGAGACCCACACTCTTTTAGGTCCCTTATAAAAAACCATTAAATTTGTCTAAGTTACAATAAATTATTGAGTAAATTGATATATTATCCTTAATTTAATACCAATTCTCTAAAAAACTATTAAATTGAAGTAATAATTATTGGTCATATACAAATGGTAAACACGGAATCAAATATTTATTACTCCTTAAAGCCACAAATGTGACAAGTATTATGAAATAGAGATAGTATTATTTTATAATAAGAGTAGCATTTTGGGTATATAAATGTAATAAACAAGTTGAAAAATAAAACGAAATAATGAATAACATTTATGACGAAACTTTTCTAACTTAATAGACAAGTTAGAAATGTAAACAAGTTGAAAAATAAAACGAAATAATGAATAACATTTATTACGAAACTTTTCTAACTTAATAGACAAGTTAGAAATGTAAACGGAGAAAAATGATAGAAACTAAAATTATTAAGCTCTTTTCACAAGAGATTTCTTTCTTTATAAAAAAAAAAATTACTTATGTTATCTCTTATCTTACAAAACAAATACCCATGACAATATATACAATTACCGCATGGGACAATTATATATATATTATATATTATAATATATTATATATATATATATATATTATAGTATAATATTAATTTGAAGTAGAAAAATATCTATAAGAATTTGTACTTTGGCCACTCTTTCCATTCCAAAGATATTTCTCTTTCTTTTTTTTTTAATATTTTTTTTGAAATTTTTAACTTATTTTTTGGAAATTTATCGTGATTGAAATGATTCTTTTAAATGTTTTTATAGATATTTAATATAATTAATACATATAATTAATAATAATAATAATAAATCTAAAATTATATGTATAAATATCTTCCAGTTTCAATGATTTTTTCATAATGGTTTTTTTCATATTGCTTTATTGTTTCTTTGGATTATTTTGCTTTCAATTTTTTGAGTTTTAATTGTGCTCTATAAATTTTTTTTTTTCATTTTAATTATATTGTTATTGTTGTTTTCAGATATTTAATTTGCAAAGGGACGATATTAGCAACTTCGATTGATATAGATCACACTTCTTCTTCTTCAATTAAGTACAATAAGTTGTATGATATAGAGTATGTTTAGTAGTAGGTTTTTTCTTTATATATGTAGTTTTTATACTTATGAATGAAATGTCAGTATTTATTTTTTTATTTTATTATTATTATTGTTGTTGTTGTTATTATTTTGCCATTTTTTTTTATCTTTTTTGCTTACTAGGTGGGAGATTATTATTATTTACATAAATGATTTAAAAGAAAAAAAGAAAAACATTAAATTCAATAAAAATACATTTAAAATAACAAAGAGAACTTATAAGATGACATCTAATAAATTAAAAAATACATGTAATAAATTAAAAATAAATACATTTAATAAATTTTAAAAAAATTTAGATACAATTTATATTTAAAATGATATTCTTATCCTTTAAATTTTTTTAGATACAATTTATATCTTAAAAAATATATTCTTATCCTTTAAAATTTTATTTTTTATTTATTTAATATATTAGAAAATTATATATTAATAAATTTATATTATAAAAATTAATTTCATTTACAATAATTAATTCTTTCTATTCAAATTTTGTATGACTTTGTTTTTTTCTAATTAGATCACGTAAAGATACTTTTTTTTAAGAAATTTTACTTATTTACTTATTTGGAAATATAATTATAATCTTAAAGTTTTATTTAATTTTTAAATAATTTTTTTTATTTTGATTTTTATGGTCTATTTCTATTATAATGGTTATCTATTTTTATTTCTATAATAGGTTTTCTTCAATCACCATTTACTTGAAGATGATCAATATTATATCTAATAATTATATTATAAAATTAATATTCATTTACAATAATTATCTATATCTATATTTCAAAATTTTAGACTTTGTTTTTTTATTAGATCACGTAAAGATACTTTTTTTTAAGTCTAAATTTTAAACTTATTACTTATTTGAAATAATTATCTAATTTATATTTAAATTTTAAATATTTTTATTTTTATTTTATGTCTATTTATTTATAATGGTTATCTATTTTTATTTCTATATATCTTCATCACCATCATACTTGAAGATGATCAATAAAAAAAAATTTACAAGTTAAATAATTTATTTCATATTTGGTGAAATAAAATAATTGATAAAATAATTTTATTCATCATCACCATCATACTTGAAAATGATCAATTTAATTTTCTAGAAATAATTATATGATACGAATATCATTTATTGTTTAATATTCTGTTTATGATTTTAATTTTAAAAAAATAATAAATAAACTTGGTTTTTCTTTTATTTGCAATTGCAAAAAAATTTGAATAAAAAAATCATATAATCAATTGCCAAAATTATAATAATTTTCTAAAATTGAAAAATGAACATAATTCATATATTTTTTTTTGAAAAAAAATAGCCAAATAAAAATCACAAAATTTTAATTTTGTCAACACAAACAACTGTAATTGATAACTCATCTAAATTTATTTTTTAAAAGAAAATCAAATTCCTGCGCAATACGTAGGCTTTTAGTTTTATTATAAATTTCATTTCACACGTGTCATTACTTCATCTTTTTTTCTTTATTTAATATTTGTATTTAATCCTTTTTTTTACTTTCTAAATTTTCTTTTAAACTTTAATGGCCTTTTTGCTCTTAACTTATCTTTGATATTATTTTCTTTAACTCTTAAACTTGATTTTTTGTTCAAGGTTAATTTGACTCTAATGTTTTGCTTGTTACACTATTGTATCCTTTTGTCAATTTTTTCTATTTTTTCATCAAATTTCAACCCCTGTATCTGCTAATTATTTTGTCAAAATTAATTGATTTTGTCCCTATATTTAACAAAAAAGTATAAAGAATTAATAAAAGAGTATAATATTGTAAGAGAGGCCAAAAAATAGAAACAAAACTATGTATTTTAAAAATATATGGGTAAAATTATATGTTTTAAGAAAATATAAGAATAAAATAATATTTTCCAAATATTATCATTAAACTTTACATTCGCCCCCTCAAGATTCAAAAATATTATTGTTTGCTTGTTCAAATTCTAACTTTCGTTTATAAATTCCTAAAATTGCACAATAAACTCTCATTTTCTAAAGTTTAACATTTCAAATAGAAATAAATATTATAATTTACAAAATTTACAAGGATGTAAACACAATAATACTTAACCAATCAAGTGTAGTGTGGTTAATTTTTTCATTTATGTGGTGGGTGGAAGGCTTCAAGTTTGAAAAATCTCGACTATGAAAGTTTTTCCATAATTTGTTGAGTAAATGGAATGGTTACCTGTGTTTTGTAACTCACAATACTCTTTTATCCGTTGAACCTTCTAAAGAATAAAAAATACAATAATACTTTAATATATTTAAACAAAAAGGAAAAATCTCCAATTTATTTTTCTATTCTATTTATATCAAAAGAATTTCAATTAAGTTTTTAGTGATTCAAATGGTAAAAAACATCTGAATTTATGGAGGATTTCTGCAGCTTTATTAAACAAATACTTATAGAGTAATGAAGCTAGAAAGAAAAGAAAAGAAAAAAAAAAAACTTTGTGCTATATTAGTAATAAACAATAAAAAAAATTCCAATTTTAGCAGAAATAAAAAAAAATCAATACCAATAGACGTTGCCCTCATAAATTAATAAATAAATAATGATTAGTTTTTTCCATTAAGTAGTTTAAAAAATTAAAAACACCCTTAAAAATAATTGTTATATGGAGATTATATAGTGGACAATTATAAAAATTGAAGTTCTTATTATTTTATGTTTGATATTTTACAATCATTTAATAGAAAAATCAACTATTGAATCTTATAATATAATAAAATTATAATGCAATGGTTAAATAATGTAATTTTGAAAATTAAGGTTCTTACCAGTATATTTAAAAAAAAAGCTACATACTAATAAAAACTTAGTGGCTCAACAAGTAATTTATACTATTTGAATTCAATCGACGTTTTCTGTAAATTCATTGAAAAAATAATTGTAGAGAAATGCAGGAAAAAATAAAAGAAAAAAAAATGTTCTATAAAAAAAATGTTCTATATTAGTCAGAAACAAAAAATAAATCTAATTTTAGCAAAATAAATAAAGCTATACGGGTACACATCGCCCTCACGTCTTAAAGAAAAGAAGAAATAACTGCGGCACGTTCTTAATGTCTCCCAATCAAAGAACCAAAGAATACATTAAAGAAACGGCCTTACAAGTAACGACAAAACCGCCATCACACTTTTTGTTTCTCTTCTTTCTCCACTTTCTACTTCCACTTCCCCCACTCATACTCCGCCATGAAAGCATCTTCTTGAAAACCCACTTTCTTCCTTTCCTTCTTTTTGTTTCTGATCATTTAACACTTCACAGTTTACACTGCTACGCCTTACTTGTACTGTTTTGTTTCTGCTTTCCTTGTACTCTCTCTCTCTCTCTCTTTCTGATTTGCTCATACAGAATGTGCTTGCTTCAGACTAATCTTACATTCTTTTACAATCAATTTTCTTCATTTTGCTGCTCTTGGGCTTTCATTTTTGTCTTTAATGATTTTTTGATGTGACTGTAGGAAAAGGACTCGACAAGTGAAGATGGGTAGGGTTTTAAAAGGGATTTTGTGGTTCTGGGTACTAGGCATTGCAATTGCAGAAGCAAAGTATGTGCAATACAAAGACCCGGAACAACCGGTAGGAGCTCGTGTTAAGGACCTAATAAGTAGAATGACTTTAGAAGAAAAAATTGCTCAAATGGTACAAATAGACAGATTGATTGCCACCCCTCAACTTATGAAGACCTACTCCATTGGTATATTTCCGTTTCTTTTCTTTTCTAATTTAACCTTCTTGTAGTTAATGTTTTTTTTTCTTTTTTTTTTTTTTAAATTTAAATGGTGATTTTGTTTTTGCTGCTGCAATTACTTTTAATTAATGTTTTTTTTTGTCCCTTTTGAGGAGCATTGCAATTGTCTATTGTCAAAGTAAAATAAATCATTGTGACATTCATTGTCATTTCCATTCTTGGGTCTTTTTTTTTTCAAATTTCCAATCTAAATCCTGATATCCATTTCTATGGAGAATACCTATTGATTGATAGGATGCAACCAGCCAATATTTCTTTTGAAAATATTACTTTGTTTGCTTTGGACTTTTTTGGGCAATAACTGACTCTGAGTAACTAAAAGAGTGTGACAGATTATTCCTTAATGCTGTAATTTCGATAAATTGTTTTATATATATTTATTGTGAATGGGATTGCCAATTTATGCATATCAATATCAGTTGATATGCTTGTACATATTCTTAACTATATATAAACATTGCAATATTATGCATGTTGAATAAACTTCCTGAATGCATTATGAACGTTATAAATCTTCTATAGTTCCATTCAAGTGCATTTGCTTTCAATTGCCATTTATTCTATTGTACCTGTTGCTGCATTTAATTGGGTCTCACATTAAACTACTGGCAGAAGAAGCTAAAAGACTGGTTTGTCATCAATTTGCAACTGGGAATGACTATTAGGTTGATGATATGATAAAAGTATCTGAGGATAAGTGTGATTGTCACCGAAAGACTGAGAAAGGCAGGCCTGAACTTTTCTCCTTGCTGCAGGTAGTGTACTGAGTGGTGGTGGGAGCGCACCACTTCCTGAGGCGAGCGCTGAGGATTGGGTTAACATGATAAATGGGTTTCAAAATGGGTCATTGTCTAGCCGTTTGGGGATTCCAATGATTTATGGTATTGATGCTGTTCATGGACATAACAATGTTTATAATGCTACAATATTTCCTCATAATATTGGGCTTGGAGCTACCAGGCAAGTACAAATTTTGAAGTCCTTTGTCTAATGGTTGTTAAAAGAGTTCTCTCCTGACTCATCAATCAGTGATTTTTATTTTTTGTCTGTTGCATAAAATAAAATTTCTTAATTTTGTCTCTTTAGTCGACTACTAATTAAGTGTTAATTTTTCCTCTGAAAAAAAAAATTTTTTTTAATTAAATTAAACCATGCTGTATATAAGATATAATAGATAAAACATACAGTTCTTTCTTGTGAAAAAGTAATAAGGAAGAAAAATTAATGCTATTATTCTCGTAATTAGTTGTTAATGCTACCTCTTTACTTATTGGTCTTTGAATCAATTTATTTTATTTATTTTTCAGGTTACTGGATAGTTTTTTTAAGCCCACTAAGATAATTACTTATTCTATGTTTTATTGAACTGCTTATGAATAGAGATCCTGATCTGGTCAAGAGAATTGGCAGTGCCACTGCTCTTGAAGTTAGAGCCACAGGGATTCCTTATGTCTTTGCTCCATGCATTGCGGTACATAAACTGAGTTTAAATTTGTTCATCAAGTGTAGGAATATATCAGTCTTTTGCACTTGAGAATGTATAAATGAGTGTGTTTTATGTGTTCTTCTCATTTTCAATAGACCTGTCATTTTTCTTGCTTTCTTCTTTGAAGGTTTGTCGGGATCCAAGGTGGGGTCGGTGTTATGAAAGCTACAGTGAGGATCACAAAGTTGTGGAACAGATGACTGAGATTATACCTGGTCTACAAGGGGATGTACCTGCCAATTCTCGGCGAGGAGTTCCTTATGTTGGTGGAAAGTAAGAACATACTAACGTGACAATCATTCATAAAATGGGGTTAACAATTCAAGTCTCTGTGGCATTGTTATTGCTGGGTTTTGTGTTGACTTCTGAAATCAGACAGATTGTAGTGCATGCCATAAATCTTAGTTTTTAATAATAAAAAAATTACTTGTTTGGGATACATGGAAACAGTAACAGTTAAATGAAATCATTTATTGTATGCTTAAACCGAGGCACCTAAAAACTTCTTTCTCTGTGCTGTATTGCCCCTTCCTGCAATTCATACTCAACTTTTCAAATATTCATCAGGTTTCTTTCTTTTCAATATGAATTTCTTTGTTATATTCATTTAGACTTTATTGTTGTAGGAAAAAGGTTGCAGCTTGTGCAAAGCACTTTGTGGGTGATGGTGGAACAACCAAGGGTATCAACGAGAACAACACAGTGATTGACATGCATGGGTTGCTGAGCATCCACATGCCTGCATATTCTGATTCAATTATCAAGGGTGTTTCAACAATCATGGTGTCGTACTCCAGTTGGAATGGGGAGAAGATGCATGCAAACCGTGAGCTAATAACTGGCTTCCTCAAGGGTACCCTCAAGTTTAAGGTTAAGTTCCAAGTATCAACTTTTATATACTGCGGTTGCTATAAATTTTGTAAAAATCTAGGTGAACCCATAAGATAAGTAAATTTTGTGCCTTTGTTCACAAAAAGGGATTTGGACATAGACATGTTGATACCTTGTAGAATTTCCATGTTCTTTTGTTCCTCTTATACTTGAATGTGTTTTAAGAGGCATCCTTCTGCTATATATTTTTTATGATTTCATACATCCGTTATTACCTCAAATGTGTATGATATTATTTTATTTTTCCACCTTACCATCTTAGAATAATTCTTTTTCATTTCTTGTGCTTGTATGTCCGACCAGTATTCTTTATTCATGCTATCTTACTAATTTTCACTTTTGGGGATTTGTTTTCCCTAAATACACTATCATATGGTCTTTTCATCATTTGAGTACACAATCTAGCTTTGCAACATATAAGCAACATGAACTATGGCATCCAATGCTAACTACAGTGGTGTATTGGAAGCAATTGCAGGGTTTTGTTATCTCAGATTGGCAGGGTATTGACAGGATTACGTCACCACCACATGCAAACTACTCATATTCTGTCCAGGCTGCAATTCAAGCAGGAATTGACATGGTTAGCAGCTAACTTATTGAACAATGACATTTGAGATTGAATTCAAGTCAAACTTTTTTGGCCTTGTGATGGCATATTCAAAAAATGCTAATTAGCTTAAAATTGAACTTTTCAGGTCATGGTTCCATTCAACTACTCTGAGTTCATTGATGATCTTACTCATCTGGTCAAGAACAATGTTATACCTATGGATCGCATTGATGATGCTGTAGGAAGGATTTTGTTTGTCAAGTTTACCATGGGCCTCTTCGAAAACCCTTTGGCTGATCTGAGCTTTGTCAATGAACTTGGAAGCCAGGTCAGCGAGATTCTTAAGTTTCTAGTGGGCCTTTTGATATGGATTTGGCCCGATATGCTATTGGATGATGTGAACTTTCAAGTAATATCTCTCAATGCCCATATATATGTGTGCTTGAATTAGCAGCCATACAATTGGTTTGCTTCCAGATTGGCTTGCTTCCAGATCTTTCTGCTGTGCAGATTTTCTTATAGAAGTTATCTTACAGTGATGATACTGTCATAATAATGCCATGAATGATGAATGCCCTTTTAATCTAGGAACATAGGGACTTGGCAAGGGAAGCTGTGAGGAAATCTCTTGTGCTGCTGAAGAATGGAAAAAATGGAACCGATCCATTACTACCCCTTCCCAAGAAAGCTTCAGCAGTTCTAGTTGCTGGCACTCATGCAGATAATTTGGGCTATCAATGTGGTGGATGGACAATTGCATGGCAGGGATTTAGTGGCAACAACTATACAAGGGGTATGTTTTACTTAATATATAATTACAAATTATAATGCACAGTACAAGATACATTCAATTAAATGTTTCTGAACTTGTGTTTTTATGTTCACTTGTATGTACAATATAACGGGAGAAAACATGGTCACTTGTATAATTACTTTAGGAATCTTGATGGAGTAGGAATGCAATTTTCTTAAGGGTCTTGTTTGGATAGATAGTCGTTTGAGATTAATGTGGATTTGTATTAGAGCTTCAAGTGCAAATTATAAAGAGCAACATTCTACCAAATTCAAATAAATAATTAGCTATATAATGCACCCCAATATAGGGGTTACAATTTACAGCTGGTTTATGTAACCATCCAAAACAACTTTGGAATACATAGCTTCTTGGGATATTTGTGAAGGATCTGCAAACTTTTAGATTGTGTGCTAAAATGTTTGTTATGTATATACAGTGTTGAATAGCAGTGTGTTGTTGGACGCTGTTTTCTTGTCTGTCCGAAAATTGTCTCAATAATTGGGATGGGTCAGCTTCTTTGCATTTAAGTCCTAGGATATACCTTATAGCACTTTATAACCATGGACAGGTAGTTAGCTAGACATAAGCTTGTCTATTTTCAGATGCATTAAAATATGTAGTCCAAAGTGGTCTTAAACATTTCTCTGTTGCAGCCAATTCTAATCCTGAGTAATTATTAATTTCTAAATGTTGTTTATATTTTTTGGTGACAATTCCACTGTAGGAACTACCATCCTTGGTGCCATAAGATCAACAGTTGATCCAAGTACAAAAGTTGTCTTCCAAGAAAATCCCGATAGCAACTTTGTAAAGTCCAATAAATTTGCCTATGCTATTGTTGTTGTTGGTGAGCCGCCTTATGCAGAGACTGCAGGTGACAGCACAGACCTCACAATGATGGATCCTGGTCCAAGTGTTATAAACAATGTCTGTGAGGCTGTCAAGTGCATTGTTGTCATAATCTCTGGCAGACCTATTGTGATTGAACCGTATGTTTCCTCAATTGATGCCTTGGTGGCAGCATGGTTACCTGGCTCTGAAGGCCAAGGCGTAAGTGATGTCCTTTTCGGAGATTACGGATTTACTGGAAAACTCTCAAGAACATGGTTTAAAAATGTAGAGCAACTACCAATGAATGTTGGGGATTCACACTACGATCCACTCTTCCCCTTTGGCTTTGGACTTAAGACTGGATCAGTTCCAAGTGTTGTGGCAAGGTAAATTTTACTAATTACTTGTGTTGATCAGCATTGATGTTTTGATTTATGACATTTGCTTCAAATACATGTGAATACTCATTACATTTGGATTCGGTTGACCTTCGTCCAGTTTTTTTGTTTTTAAACAGACAACTGTATATCTTCATGGCCTGTAATTGACAGCAATTGATATTTGACAGTAGAATTTTTTTGTTTCCGAAAAGAACACGGTGTGTACCCATTAATTTATTGGTTTGTTTTTTTGTAGGTCATCATCAGCTGGTGTTGTTGGGAGGCCATCTATCCTTTCTGTCATGATTCTTGTAATTTTCTGTTTGTATATAACAGGTACATTTTTAACCTGAGTGACTATCAACTAGTTAGCTGCTTCTGATGATTGAATAGATGATGTATTCTTCCTGAACTTTCAATGATGAGTTTCCACCATTTCTGTTTGATTAATGAATGATATATCCAACTTTAAGATGTCGAATCTAAATTATTCCAGCATTCTGAGATTCTTGGACTTGCATTACTTAATAAATAATAGACTGTAACATTTTCAGGTAGCATGACATCATACAAAATTTGGGCTAATCACTTTAACATTGGTCCAATGCATAAACTCACCCTGCATTTTACTTGTTAAATAGTTGAAAATTGTAAAAATTATTATTTAAAAAATTACAGTAACCACACATTAAAATAAAAAGATTTGAAGATTTGAAGCGTTGAAAGGATCTGATGTTGTAGCCATTGGCCAATTGCATATGCAACTAGTGCTGAATATATTTCAGTTAAATCCATCGATCTGAATCATTTTTTCAGCACGAAAATTTGGAGTTGTTTTCAGCATGGACGAGGATTCTTATAAAAGGCTAGATCCTTTCTTCTCGGTTCTCAATTTTGCACTCATTTAATCAATTACATTTAAATATAATTTATTTCTAGAAAATAATGTGCTTGAAAAATTATTAAAAATATGAAATATACATGATTCTAAATGGTTTGTCTTAAAAATTAAAAATCTAAATATTTTTAATTAATATTCAATTGCAACTGCATATCAAAAAATAAGTTATTTAGAAAATGTTCTCTCATAATATTTTTCTTCAAAAAATACTTTACAAAATAAGTTATTTTCAAATTTTTTTTTTTTTTTTGCACAAACAAGGAAAATATATTAACATCATAAGATAAGAGTACAAGAGGAAAAATAATTGAGCACAACCAAGAGCATACAAGCTTGATTTAAAATAAAAACAAGATTGTTAAAAGAGCCTATGTCTAAGGGAAGGGGGAGTAACCCACTAGCAACTGCTGCGCCATGATGCTAAACTTCCTTTTCGGTGACTTTCTAAAATCTGCAATTGATCTTTAACAAACAAGATCCGCATAAATCCATCTTGATGTAGAGGATGGACCAAATCTCCCTTGTACTAAGCCACTTCCATAGAGAATTTCTGTCAATACTTTCCATGAGTGGTTGCCCTAAATTGAGAAGTTCAGGTGACCCCAAATAGAAACCAAATGCAAGAATAGATGCATGGATCTGTCTTGAAAAAGAGGCCAAAAGCATATTGGAGAGGATACCCATAGAGGGCAACAAAACAAAATAGAAAGGAGAAATACTAACACACTAAATAAAAAATAACAGAAGAGTAGGTGCGAAAAAGAAGAAAAGAAAAAGGGATTGCCGCTAGCTAAAGATTTATCGCCAAAAGACACCCAAAGAAAAGAAAGAAAAGGCTCTAAGTTTTTTAGAGAGAAGGATGAGCATTAGGTTTTTAGAGAGAGACTACCATTTTTGCTTTTCTCTTTTATTTTCAAAAACAATAAAACCTTCATGACATTTTTCTTTTTATTTAAGTTATACTAAGATATAGTCTAAGAGGATTTAGGCTTCCCTCTAAAAAAATAAAGGGAATTTAGGCCTAGTGTAATGGTAGAGTCCTAATGCATTTTTATGAGTTAACTTGGGTTCGATGCCACTGCATCTCCTCCCCTCTTATGACAATAAGTCAATATTTGAAAAGAAAAAAAAAAAAAACTATACTTCTAACTCCATTTTTCATTCTAAATAGTTCCATATTGTTAATTTTTGCAATCAAACAAAATGAAAATAATATAACATCTTATTTAATTACTGGTCGTTATTATGGCAGAGTTGTTTCATTGGTATTTGTCTGAGGAGATTACCCAAAAAACATTGAAAATTATATTGGTAGATGCCAATGCAAAGAACTTTACAGGTGTATAACGTGAATATACGTGGATTCGGTTCATATGTGTATAAGAAAACCATTAAAATATTATATGTAGATAAATAAACCCGATGAAGAATGGAAATTGGTATCTTTTAAATATGAGAGGTTCGATTATTTTCATCCAAGATCCCCCAATTAACACCATATATGTCACCACCTAAAACCATGGCCAGACTGGTACTAAAGCACAGGTAAGCATAAAGCCCCAAGGCACTTAGTAAGCCTGAGTCACTAAATTCAACACAACAATATATATTCCAAGAACAGTCAGCCCATATTACCATATATAATAATTCTCATAATTATTTTATACTCTGGCCCAAATCCAACATTTCAAATATCTCATAGCTCGAGCCTAGATGTATGATACATGACATCCATATTATAGGCTAACTAGTTCATATATACACATAAATGAATAATTAAAGCATCCACATAAGTTTATCGATTATAATTCTATAACTGCAGAGTTCACTAATAGGTAGGTATAAATAAGTTCTAGTACATATAGCTATATAATTTAAATAACTACTGAAATTAAAGCTTACTCTTCTAGCTTTGCCGTGAAGAAAACAGAGGTTTAGCCGGGACAGTGAAAAATCTTCTTCCTGAAAAAATTAGATAGAAAGGTGAGTTTTATAATGAATAATAACTAGTGCATAACATAAGCACTCACACAAAATGCTTCCTAAAATACTAAAATGAACACTTATTCAATCATACATATGGCAGAACATCAGCACCCTCATATAAGTACACCTTCACATAATCAAGCACGTGGAGATTGGTTTGTACCATCATCGAATCCTTCGATGAGTCGTTCTCACATATGGCCCATCCTCTCATGACATGTGCACCAGGGAGCCGATCCCCAATACATGGCCGATCAGTCTAATCCTCATTTGACCAGCCTCTCATTTTTTATACTCTATTTTCTTTTCCATACAAACAGGAGGCCACCCTGTGGTTTTTCCATATCATTCATATCATCAGATGCACACGGGGGCGCCGATCTCCCCATATATGGCCGAAGTTATCATAGACCGCCCTCACAAACCCATGGTGATGAAGCTTTCACTCAAAAACTTCACCCTAACTTCTCATTTCTTCCCCATTTTCCATGGATCATTCCTTGGCGCTTGCATTTGAAGCACTATTCCGCAGTCTTAGCCATGAAGATTGGGATTTACTATCACCATTCGAGCTGAACGGGCTGAGCTATTATCAGAACATTCTGGTTCAACCCGAATTGCAGCAATGGTTGACAGACCACTTTGATCCTTCAGATAACTTATTTTTTCATAACGATTCTGAGATTTGTTTGTTTTTTTTTTGAAGAACTCAACATTATTTCTAGGAGAATACCCATGGTGGAAGAGGTTTCTCCGGTGCCTTAGCTAGATGTTGACCCTGCTTCACTGATTCTGCCTGTCTTTAGTTTCTCAGCTTATGAGATATCGTCTTATGGCTTTAGAGCTGATGTCGTGCCCCTGCGACTGCTTGTTGATTGTGCTTTGAGTATGGGCCATACTAGCCCGTATCGGCCTTCACTTGTATCTTTCTGCATTCTTAGTTAATACTTGCTACTTAGTGGCATTAACGGTTATAGCAGCCTTAGGCTGGTGCCCATAGTTGAGCAGATGGTTAGGCGACGCATGCCATTTCCACTTCTTCTGGCTTAAACATTTATTTGGCTGGGAGAGCACGTTCGGGACCTAGCACGGTACTCGGTCCAATGGGGAGTCCACTTCTACTTTAAATAAATGCATTTTTCTTTTTCTTTTAGTTATTATTATTATTTTTTGTTCTCTAGCTTTTGCTTAATCCACCCTTGCAGGTTTTTGACTTAACAAACTTTCTTCTTTTTTATATATTTTTTGAATGCTCTAATTTTTACTTAAGCCGCCCTTGCGGTGTGGGTCCCGTATATGTATGGCACAACCCAAGAGGGGGGGGGGTGAATTGGGTTTTCTGAAAATAATGTAATTTTAGAATTTAAAATAAAATACAGAATTCTAAGTGCAGTGGAAAATTTTTATATATTTTTTGATATGCTCTAATTTTTACTTAAGCCGGCCCTTGCAGTGTTGTGGGTCCCGATATATGTATGGCAAACCCAAGAGGGGGGGGGGTGAAATGGGTTTTTCTTGAAAAACTTTAATGTAACTTTCTAGGAATTTAAAAAAATAAACATACAGAATCTAAGTGCAGTGGGCAAAACATAAGTAAACTTCGTTCGGAGAATAGAGTTATGGGATTAGAACTTTCCTCACCACGATGTTCGTATTTATTAAAAGAATAGAAGATTTCACTGTTATAGTGCAACTATTAATCTAAGAACCTGCTTTCACAAGTCCTTATTCAAATATTAGACTTCCCATTGCTATAACGGGGAAAGTTATTGGTATTACGGAACTTCCTCAATAAAGTTTACGAAAATCATATAAGAACTGTGGTGAGCGGAGACAGTTATTTTGAAATTTTAGAACTGCATCAACTAGCTTAAACCAGGTTTAGGAAAAACCTTGGATTAGCCAAACCCCAAGTCAGTGAAATATTACCGTGTAAGAGGTAGGAGAACTGTTATAGAACGTGGTAAAAGTTCATTAATCAGAATTCCAAGAAGTTTCTAAATATTCAGAGAAGATAAGAACTTATTCCAGTATTAGAACTATTAAGAATCATTGAACAACTTTTGGCCATTTGCCTAAAATTCTTAAACAGAAGTGTTAGTAAAAGAATATCAAGAAAAAACTTCCACGATAAATTAAAAGGATCAACACAATCGATTTTATTAGTGGTCTCGGCCACTTAAAACTCGGGCCTACATCCACTCCCCAAAGACTCATTCTTGAGATCCTCAACTATGTTATCTCCCTTTTCAAGGGGGAAGAGACAAACCCAAACAGTACAACGGCAGCTAGAAATCAATACCTAGAATCTACCCTTCTATCCCACTAGATTTTCCCTAAAGGTTCCTAGTTTAACCTTCAACCCTTTCTTGGTTTTTTCGGCAGACGGTGTAACAAAAACTCCACATTCCAAAGGAACAATTAGAAATGCTATCTTCCACGGGAGAAGTCCGCATCGCCCTTGATGACCTTCTCATTAATAGTTCTCACCTAAGCCTATTACACCAAGAATGTTTATGAAATAAAAAAACCCTGTCTACTATAGATTACAAAATCTTAAATTAGACAGGAAAGAAATCGCACCATTATCAGCC